TATATATATATATATATATATATATATATATATATATATATATATATAACAATTTTGTTAGCTCACTTCCCATCATAATTATCACTCAGTTCGAAATAAAATTTTTAATATAAAATGTCTAATTGATTGCCCTTATTGCTTTTACAATTGTTTTACTTTCACCAATTGTAAAATATTTTTTAACATTTGTTAATGTCAATTGAAAGATATTTCATCAATTGATCGAGATTAACTATAGAAATATCTATATTAATTTATGAGTTATATATATATATATATATATATATATATATATATATATATATATATATATATATATATACACACACACACACACTTAAGCTGAAATTTAGATAGGCAAAAATGGAAATCACTAATTTTGAAGGAAAACTAATAATTTAAAAAAAAATTAGATATCTAATTACCCCTGATTGCTTTAACTATTAGATTAATTTCAGAGTTACAATTGTAAATACAATCTATTTTTAAAATATTAATTTTTAGAAGATGTTAATATCAATTGAAGTTTTAAGGTATTCCATCAATGTGGAGCTATAACAATATATATTTTAGTTTATGAGTTTACATTATATATATAAAGCTTAAATTTAGAGAGGTAGATATTAGAATCACTAATTTTGAAGAAATATTATATATACAAGTAAATAAAAATATTTATTATTATTATTATTATTATTATTATTATTGTTGTTGTTGTTATCGTCAATATTAATTTGAGCTAAAAATAAAAGAAAAGTGGGAGTTGCGGTGAGGCTTCTCTCTCTCTCTCTCTCTCTCTCTCTCGTTTCCGTTCTATTTAGTTCGTGACCGTGCGGGAAGTTCCTTTCTCGTCGCCCTCTTTTTCTCCTCACTCCTCCCCCCTTCGTCCCCTTCCTTTGGTTGGGTTTGTGTCTCCGCCCTCTTCCTCTTGGGCCGTCCCCGCCTCAGTAAACCGCCGAACCTTCGAAGGCGGAGATCCGTTTGTAGACCGCGTTCTCTGAGGAAGCCGAGAGGAGGAGGAGGAGGAAGACGAGCCCACCTGACCGTCTGACGTCCACAATCTGATTCCTGATCTTTACCTTTCTCTTCTTAATTATAAGAAAAGAAGGATCTTTTTTCCTTCTTCTCCTATCGGTGAAACAACGTGGAAACCAGGGGATTTTGTTTTACGCCGTTTGGTGGATCAACTCTGAAGCAAGGCAAGGAAAAGGAGGAGTAAAGACCAGGGATCATGCGCAGGACGACGCAGGTCGGATGCTGACAGAGTATGGGAGTGGTTGGACCTTTGGTTGATCGCCATGACGCTTTACATTGGTCGCGAGGCTCCCAAGGTACCTTTTTTCCCTCCAAAAATTCAACTTTTCTTCCTCTTTCATGTAACGAGAAGAATATCCCGCGTGGTTTGATGTCATCACTTTTTTGTTTGCAGCTATGGAGGAAGATTTGCATGGAAACATATGTGGAGCTTCAACTTTTTATGGAAAAGTGGAAGCTACTGCTAGCAGGACTCATATTTCAGGTATGACTTTGTGTTTTTCGAATGATCTTATGGGATTACTAAACAAGCACTCAAGATGGAAAATTTGCAATCCGGATGTTGGCGTGAATTCTTCTTGATAGGAATCATTAGTTTGGATTTCTGCGATATATTGATTTGTGATAGGAATTTAGACTCGTGTCTAGGTACACAGAAAACATCTCTGTCAACAGAGCTGATGTTTTGCTGTTGATGGCTTGATATTGCAAGCTGAATTCTACACAGATGTAGTTTTTTTCAATGGAATAGCATAAGTTGTAACGAATTCATTGCACTTTTGTTTCCACAGTAATTAGCGCAACCATTAAGAAACTTGTGACATAATGTTTTCAAGATCATGGGATTCTTTGTTCAATAGATTTTTAACCAACCAATTCTTTGAGAGAGTTCAGTGGTAATCTGCTTCTGGTTGGTGGCATTCATCACGAGTTCTTTTATTTAGTTGTTAGTTACTTTAATCGTCACAGAACATCCTATTCAAGAGCTATAACTAAATGATGTTGGAAGTTACTGCTTTTAAGACGAAGAGTATTCTTCCAAGGATTTCAGTTTGTGTGCTATTACTGTTTCGTTAGTTGGATCCTTCATCCAGCAGACTGTTTCTATAAGTTCATTGTCATGGTAAAGCATCATACTTTTATTCTTTTGTGAATATAGGACCCAAACTATATTCTAGTTTAGATTCAGCCTTCTAATGAGTGAGTATATCAGTTTACTTGTTTAACATCTGTGAGAATCATGCTTCATGCCATTACAAATATAATCTTAAAATGTTCAAATTATTATTATTTTTAAAGTGCATATGATAGTACTTTCTGTGGACATATGTGACCACCTGCGTAAATGTGACTGCATTGTTGATATGTTGGCCTTTCATTTAATAATATTTGGTTTTAGTTGGTCAGGTTGACTTAAATCAGACATGGCACTTTAAAGTGATTCCTATATTTTATCCTAAAAAAAAGGCAATTTCTATATTGAACTTTCTTGTCTCCTAAATTAATACACCAAGTATGTTAGTATTATCTGTTATTTTTTCCTTTTTTAGTTTACTTTTTGCATTTATTATAGATCTGTGATATTGTTTTCCTTGATGGTCCATATGGACTATTATGATAGAACTTTCTACTGTTGCTCCTATGATAATCTTATGCTTTCATCTATCTGATTTTGTAATTAGTCGTGGGTTAATGTGATTATTTACTGAAAATATTTTTTTTCATTTTTTTTGTCATGCATGGTGGGCATAAAAATATCTCTTCAACTAAATATACATGAATTAGATTTGAGAATAATTCACTGCTTTTGTCTTTCTCTAGTACATTCATGGGCTGGCTGCACGAGGAGTTCATTATCTACATCGACCTGGACCAACTCTTCAAGATGCTGGCTACATGATCCTTCCGGTGCATGCTAGTGCTTTGTCTGAGTTACCTGCAATGCTGAATGAAATTATTGTCGGTTCTGCATTGAAATAACATTAATGTTTTATTAATGCTTTTGTGATTTTAGGAACTTGGAAAAGAAAGAGGTTACGTCAGTGAAAGCCTATTCACCTTCATCTTTTTGTCATTTATTCTGGTATGCATTTCTCTATATGTTATTTGCTGATGCTTCTCTTGTAAGTCTCTGCATGCATATTTTTTTGTGAATAAAAGTAATCAGACTTTCGAGGTAACTTTACTTTTTGAAAGCAATGCCAAAATCAGATTCAACTTTATTATGAAACATGTTGGAAAGTATATGTCAAAATAATTTACAATAACACAAAAATCCCAGCTCAATTTAGTTTGAGGGTTCCATCTCTTTATATGGCTGTATGTCCCCTTCTATTGTTGTCCTTTTGTCTTGCAACCATTTTAGCTTTTCTCTTAACCTTTTGTTTAGCTTTTTTGTGCCATTACCTTTGATAATTAATTCACATTTATTTATATAAGCTTGGTTCTTCTTTAAAGGCATCATCATTTCACTTGGTAGCCGGATGCAGTGATTTCATTTCTTATATGTGCCTGACTTTTTATCTTTTCCTCTGCTCTCTCTTTTCGGTTGCATATATAAGATGCACATGCAATCTGTTTCTTGTTGTGCATTCTAAGCAATCATGTCTGCTTTCTGAGCTCTTACATTATATTGCTTGCCTTTGTTGTAGGCACATATCCATATTCAGTGTTTGATGGTTATGACATGGTGATTTTATTTTTGCAGTGGACATTTCATCCTTTTGTTTATCATAGCAAGCGCTTCTACACTGTTCTGCTCTGGCGGAGAATTTTGTCATTTCTAGTTGTAAGTAGTTGTAGTCACCTGTTATTTCCTTCCTCTGGTCATCCTATTATTCAACACTGAAGGGTCATTTCAGGCTTCTCAAGCATTGCGGATCATCACTTTCTATTCCACACAGCTTCCTGGACCCAACTATCACTGCCGCGAGGTATTATCTGCATCAAATGGCTTGTCAATTTTAACTTTCTTTTGCCAGTAAAACAATTGCAATCTGTAACACCAATGATTTCTTCTTTTTTTTTTTTTTGGTCATTTAGGGAGGGGAGCTCGCCAGACTGCCTCCACCAGAGAGCGTAACTGAAGTGCTTCTGATTAACTGTATGTTACTTTTCGGATATTCTATCCTTGCAGTTAAATTGCATCATTGTCATTGTAGGTGTTTATATTTTTTTTCTTCTTACTTTCAGTTCCTCAGGGGGTCATATATGGTTGTGGTGATCTGATATTTTCATCCCACATGATATTTACACTAGTTTTTGTCCTTACATACCATAAATATGGCACTAAAAGGTACACTTATGGCATTTGTGCAACTCTAGTTGCTTATGATTTCAAAGTTGATCCAATCTGGACTTTTGCAGGTTCATCAAGCTTCTTGCTTGGGTTTTAGCTATTGTTCAGAGTTTGCTTATAGTAGCTTCCCGCAAGCATTACACAGTAGATGTAGTCGTTGCATGGTGGGTTGTATGTGTGATTATATTTTCTTATATGCTTTTTTTTTTAAAGTAATCCTGGTGGCAACTGCATTATGTTTTCATTTGTATGCTTGTAGGTATACTGTAAATTTAGTGGTATTCTTTGTTGACAAGAAACTACCAGGTGTTTATTTGTTTTTGACTTGGTTGACTTTTTTTATTCTATATCACTTCGTATCATAGATCGATTGGCTGAAAAACTCTTTGTATTATTTACGACAGAAATGCCTGATCGTTCTAATGGATCCCAACCACTGTTACCATATGTTAAAGATAAAGATGAAAAATCTAGAGAAGATCACCACAAGTTATTGAATGGAAATTCGGTGGATACTGCTGATTGGGTATGACACTTTGACTAATATATTGTTTATTAAATTGATCATATATTACTTCCGCCTTCTTATTGGTAATATACACTATTGGCAAAGGTTATAGTTATGATCTACTTCTGCATTTGTTTTAGTATATGTAAACAGAAGATTAAGTCTGCTTTCTGTTGCTGTGGCTATCAGAATTAGAATTATGGGACCACCATTGCCTGATGCAAATGTATTTTTTACATTTAACCTGCTGTAATGGAAATAGATAATTAATACACCATACGCATTGATCGACTTCATTCAAATATTGTCTCCCCACCGCTGCTTGATTAGTTCAAAACTGTCCTATTTTGAAGGAAGAATTTTTTTTGGTATGCGCCATTAGCTATCTCTACCTCCCATCGGCTTTTTGCACAGATCGTATGGTCTAAGATCAATCATTTATAATTAGTATGCATTTCTGGAGATATGTTGTATGTTCTTTTTCCCCTTTTTTATGTTGATCCAGTATTCGTGATCTATGGTTATTTTCAACCAGAGGCAGAGATTGCAAGTGAATGGCAAGCATGGAGAAGACGGGAACCACATCCATTCTGAATCTGCGGCAAATGGTGCATAGATCATTTCGGACATGTTGGTTACTGATTTACAGTATGCACGGCGATACCATCTTTGACTTGACCATGAAGCACTGCATTCGACTGAACCGGGTGTTGATGCTTATCCTTGCAAAGCAAGGAACTTTAATCTAGCCGGGGCATGCTAACATTTTGCTCTCTTACATCATATCATGCATGCTCGTATGTACTCTCTTTTTGTTTTCATGCCCAACGATTCTTTATTATGCATTCAAAAGGAAATCTTAACCTCATGTGGCGTGTAGTGGTTTTGTTGTGTTACAGCATTGTGCAACTGAAAGGAACATTTATTTCTCCAAAGGGGAAAAAGATTGGAAGCAATTGCTTTGAAGTGATTACCATAATGTTCTTTATGGTTCTTGTTTTGCTATGAAGAAATGCTACTGCTATCATCATGTTACTGTGTTCGCACAACACCATTGTATCATATGATTGAACAAAATTCTTTCAGGATCTTCTTGTGGGGGTAGAGCTTTTGTTATTCTCCTTTTTATGAACCCCACAAGCATTTTTAGGAGCCAAAATAGACACTTCTTTTCCTTGATGAAGATGAGGTCCAAATCCCAACCCATATCCTGATCTGATCTGTAAAGAAACCAGCAGAAGACCACTTTTTTGCTTTGTCATAGTTATTTGTTTGTTGCTTTCTTCTCCACATGTAAGATCACACCATTTGCCAACGTAGAACTAAGAGATTGTTATTATATCATTTCTATGAGATCCTAATTGTCTTATATTGGATGGATATGAAAAGGAAAAAAAGAAAAATAATCTGATTTCATTGAGAGGGCTAAGAGGGAGTCCACAACTATTAACTTGAAATTAATTGGTTAATTAATTAAAAATCTTATTGTAATATCTCAATTTATTCTCACATCAAATGTGAAAGAAAATTGGACTAAATTCACAATAAGATCACATTTAGTCTCTCTGTTGACAATTACCATTTATCAACAACTAAAATATTTTACGAGCACAGTTTCTTCTGGTTGATACATCAAAGGTCAACAACTTATGGTCTTTAAAGATGTGGCAGCTTTAGAGCCTATCAAGGTAGCAGTAGGCACACGTGTGTGTGTGTGTGTGTGTGTGTGTGTGTGTGGAAGATAGAGAATACATAGTAAATGTACATGTAAAGGCACTTGTGCCTGTTTTAACACTCAAATAAATGCCCAACTCACTGATGTTTTGTTGTTGCAACAAACTAGTAATATGTGTGTGTGTGGAAGAAAGACCAACACACAAATGTACACGTAAAGAAGAAGACAGGTATGTATGCCTGTGTAACGTAACACACGCAGCAAAACTCACTGATTAGCAAGCAATAGATCATTCGACTTCTTATAGGTTCGGTTCGATATCTCACTGCAAGAACTCGTGTCTGGTGAAAACTTGGTGTCAACTTTCAGCCTGGAACATTGAAGTGAAATAGCCAGGAGATGACAAAGGCAAACACCAGGCACGCAAGCAGCAAGTTGAGAAACCGGTGGCCCTGCCAAAAGCTCTGTGTTTCTGATGATGATGATGATGATGATGATGAAGGTGGTGGAGATGCAGTAGCAGCTTCGTTCCAGTGCTCGGTGGGTTCGGTCTCGCCTGAACCCACCACATTCTTGGCGATCGAGCCGCAAACCTCACATGTCCTGCAGACAGAAACAAAAGGAAGAACAAAGATCTCCATGGTGGAAGTAAAACCAGCTTCGAGGCTTGAGACCAAACATGAAAGCCACTTTGCGATGCGACAACCTGGCAATTGTCATGCATCACAGGATTCTAATAGTTTGTGAAATCAAGAAAGAAAACACAAACTTTCTAATGTCAGCTTTCAACAAGTGACAAACAGTAACAACCCAATAATAGGTTGGTTTTATGCATCACAGCAGCATTCTAATAGTTTGTGAAGTCAGATTTCAAGAAGCGCACAATCAACAAAAGAAGTAAAAGTGTTCATCTCATCAGAGAAATAAAAACCTTTGAAACTTGAGTTCTTATTAGCTTCAGCAGGTTTGGTAGCCAGCTCGGTGAGGTGAAACCATTCAAAAGCTGAAACTAAAACCATGTTGTAGCTTCTTTGTCTGTCAAAATCAGTCTATTTTGGCTGAAACATCTGAGTCTCTATGGAGAAACACAACTGGTTCGTCAAACAATACCACAACAAACCAAAAACAGAGAAAGTATACCAAATGCAAAGGCACTTACAGTATTTGTAAAATGGAGGGGGAGGACGGACGGACGGACGGACGGACGTTGGTACTATGATAAGATTGTCATTTTGAGACGTGGAAACCAGGATTCAAGTCACCAAACAGTATCTATCTATATATCTAAAGATAAAAAGACTGTCCCTAGATCACCAAGGCAACATCTTTCTTTGATGTAATGCACAGTGTTCTGCTCCTACATCTAAAGCTTGGAAATGACGAGGAACAAAACAGCTATATGCTGGGCAATAAAACAATCAAATTTCTTATGAAACCCAACATTGACCTGAAACAATAATAATTCTAAACCATTGAGATTGATAGTTTGTATAGATTGATAGTTTGTTTACGATGCTTACATTCATCATTAGACTCTTCTAATTAATTCAAGTCTTCCCTAAATATGAATACCTTCAGAAATTTGTTCCCACGCAATGGTTTCTGGCCACGGCTTAGGAATAACATCGGTTTACCAGTAGTAATTTACATACTTCTGTGAAGTTATGCTCTTCTCCCTCTAACATTCCAAACAAGAATTCCTACATACTCTTGCATTCTGTGGACGATTCAGAATATACGGAGAAAAAGAACAAGAAAACGTTGAGATCATTTATGTTATAACGCTTACTTGTTTCCCTTGATCTTAAACCACGTCTCAGCGCATCGCTTGTGGGCAGCAGCCAGGTCGTCCTTGCAACAACACCCCAACTCGATCGGCGCACCCGCATCCGGAGATGCCTTCTCCAAGCTGAGATGACAAATCCGGCAATCCCTCCCACCTCTCTCCGGACTCGCCGTCTTACTCTCGGAAATCCCGCTCTCTAGGTCGCCCTCCAGCGAGCCGTCCGAGACCGAGACGCAGGATTTCCTGCAAGGCTCCGGAGATGCGCTTATTTCGCAGCTGGGATCGTGCGGCGAGTGCCCTGCCTCGTCGTCGCTGTCATGGTCGCTCTCATCAGAAGGGGGCAGATGATGCCCTCCTTCGATATCCGAAGGGGATATGACTCCCTTGTCAGCCATTTGCCGACGAGTTCAGGAACAGACCTTGTGGTGTAGCATCAAACATGAGCACCGCGAATCCTTTGGAGATGGGAGAAGACTCTGCTGCTGCTATTTATTGGCAGGGGAGGGAGGGAGAGGTCGGTCCGGCATTGAAGTGGGTTGGGCTATTTGTCCGTGAAGTGAAGTAATTGTGTCGAGGGAATCGAAGAGTAAGAGAGGCTGCTGCTGCTGCTGCTGCTGCAGTGCAGCAGCATACAACAGCAGCGATGCCGTGAGTTCGTCTGCTTTCACCGTCGTCGCGGCTTTCACTCCGCCTCACTTATTTCGGTTCAGTTCACAGGTCACGCCGATCGACTGACTCCTTCCGCCGCTGCTGTCCGTGTCCTTTCAACGTGCTTTGCCTCCCCTTGCTCTGCTCGCGATCCGGCATTGAAGCGACGACGCGATGGCAATCACACGATCTTCCCCTTCGTCGTTCGACCCAGGGAAGGCGAAGGAGAAGATTGCGACGAAGCAAGAGGAGGATAATTCGAACCGAGTTGGCCGAGTGTGGAGAGGTACTAGGAAAAAAAAGGAAACGATGATCGAGAACGGCGTCAACGCCGCCGTCAGGGAGGCCAAGGCTTCTGACACCGTTGTCTTCATCGTCAGTATCCCCACCCATTACCAAACATTACATGGCAAGCGAATCGAATAAAACAGAGTCACACGGTTTAGACTTGCAACACAGACTGACCTCTCAAACTGCTAAAGCAAACGAACCACCACCAATCTCATTGTAGCTCGACGTCGTTGGTTGTGGTCTTCTCGTCCTCTACTGTCTTCTTGTAGGTGTAGCACTTGGCGATCAAGAGATACACGCCAAAGTTCAGGAGGCTGAGAACGGCCAGCAGCCAGAAGAAGTAGTCGAGGTGGCCGCGATTGAGGTTGTCCGGAATCCATCCCAGCTTCCTGTTCCTCGTCGTAATGGACGTGACGATCGTGACGAGCAAGGTGCTCAAGTAGTTCCCCAGCGCCACCGTGGTAAGCGAGAGCGCGGAGCACATGCTCCTCATGGCGTCCGGTGCCTGGTCGTAGAAGAACTCCAGTTGGCCGATGAAGGTGAAGATTTCGGCCGCCCCCACGATGAAGTACTGAGGCACCTGCCAGAATATGGACATGGGAACATAGCCACTAGTGACGTCGTATAGGCCGTGCCGTGCCACGGTCCGCAGCCTCGCGACCTCCAGAATGCCAGCCGCCACCATGGAGAAGATGGAGATGACCAGGCCGATGCCCATGCGCGTCAGCTGCGTGAAGCCCCGCTCCCGGCCGGTGGACCTTCGGACCGCCGGAACGATGATGCGGTCGTAGATCGGAACCCACACGATCACGCTGATGGTGTCGAAGATGGAGAGCGACGCCGACGGTATCTGGAAGTGGGGGCCCATGTGGCGGTCCAAGGTGTTGCCTTGCAGAACGAACATGGTGCTCATCTGGCTGTAGACGGTGGAGAAGACGATTCCACTTGCCCACACTGGAAGAATTCGCAGAATGCTCTTCAGCTCCTCCACTTGGGTGATCGTGCAGAGCCTCCATGGATTCACTGGACTCCTGGCCTTGTCTTCTTGAGTCTCTACAGCAGCCTTATCAAGGAACCTGAACAACACGCAGGAATACAGTGCGAGTACAAACCATTACGATAGGCACAAATTCTGTGGTCTCAACTGCAAACATCAAGCACTTGCAGGGATCCAAAACGAATGAAGTAAACATGATAAGCTAGAAACGGTTGCAGGTTGCAGATTGCAGATAGTGTCACAGCTACCATAGCAATTGCATGCCTACGACAAATAGGACAGTGATACAAAGAGTTTCGGTGAGCTTACTTGAACTGGTCTGTGTGGTCAAGCTTACGGCTGCCTTGTATGGCCGATTCCTTTTGTGTGATCTCGTAGAGCAGTGACTTATCAGCAGGCACTTTCACCCCAGCCTTCCTCAGAGATGCCACCATAACCTGGGCAATGCGTGTGAGGGGGCTTCCTCCAGGTTTCTGGTGCCTGTACAGCCGTGTGCCCATGAAAAAGCTGACGACTGCAATGGCCATGACGACCGCTGGGATTCCAAACCCCCATCCCCATCCGACGTCTGTCTGTATCCAAACTAGCACAGACGAAGCAATCAGGGCGCCTATGTTGATGGAGAAGTAGAACCAATTGAAGAACGAGCTCTTCCTCTTCTTCTCCGATTCGTCAGAGTCGTCGAATTGATCAGCACCGAAGGAAGAGACGCATGGCTTGATTCCTCCCGTTCCCAGCGCAATAAGATAGAGCGCTGTGAAGACTGCTGCAGTCTGCGCTCTCGTTGGATCACAGACACCATTTTGGCATGAAGGTTTCAAACCTTTGACTGATGCGGTCATTGTCAGTAGTGTCAAACCCTGTAGGCAAGAAGATATCAGTGTCCAGCATCTCAATTCTCCAAGATAAGAATCCTCTGCTTCCTTACCAAAATATAAACGATCATGAAGCTGGAAATTGTCCAGTATCTTCCTATGTAGGCATCAGCTATGAACGCCCCAAGCAGTGGCATTATATAGCATGTTCCTGACCAGTTAGTGACATTATTTGCTGCAGTGACATTCCCTTGGTGGAGACGATCCTTCATGTAGTTCACCAGGTTGGTGCTCATCCCATAGTAAGCCAGCCTTTCGCAGCACTCGTTTGCTGAGGTAAGCTTTGCGCAAGTCAAAAAGATCGAACAATGCGCATGCTAATTGTACAATGAAAGGCTACAGGAACCTGAGAACTGTACCAAGAATGTAGGGACAAGCCCTCCAATTTCCGGTGTTCTTCTTGATAGCTGGGTTCCCATGGATATCGGTTGTCCCATCCTGGGTGTATTCATCTTTGATGTCCTCCATGAGCTCAAGGAAGCAAGGGAATTGCTTAGGGCGATTGTTCTGAGAAGCTCACCTAAATAAAAGCATTCAAAATATGCACACCCTGTTAATAAATACCAAGAAAGTCTCGAATCATCAGAATAGTGACGGGAGGAGAGAACAGAGTGTCCTACTCTGGTGTTGTCTGGTGTTGGATTTTAGTGTAATGCATTGTAAACTAGTGTCCTGGTATCAGATCGAGGAATATTTATATCAGTTCTTTATAAAAGTAGTTTACGAAGAACTTGTCCACCATGTATAAACTCAGCAAAATTAAGCATCTTAAAAGATAAAATACTACAAATGCTTTCCTTCAACTACAAATACTAGAAATATGATGAATTTTGTCTACAACAGTTTTCTTCTCTGCCTGTTTATATGTTCATGCAATGAGTCGCAATTTCTACGTTGTAAAGTATCAATATCAGCATACTCACAGTAAAAGAGACTAAGATGTAAACTATAAAATGAACAAGGGATAACAGTGTGAATTTAGCCTTATCCCACTTAGTAGGACGCCAAGTTTGCCTCAAATGCGAACCACTGGAAAAAAGTAAACTATACAAATCGAAGGTACTTTCTCAAGTAACGATTAACTTGGACTAATCAATCATATAAGAAAGCTAGCAAAGAGGAATGGCGTATTCTTCCAGAGTAGAAACGATATCTTTAATTTAGAGTAAAAAGATCATCAACGCAATGACTAGGCCCTCATCTTACCTGGTCTAGAAATCGAACTTAGAGCTGGTTATATCATATGGAAGAATGAATTCTTACAGATGATCTAGCGAGAACTACACGGAGTCACCAGATCCAGACGTTCTCTTCCTCCTTTGTTCTCTAGAGTACTAAGAGACGAGCGGATTGAGGCTCATAGAGGCCGCCGCACCTTTCCCACCCCTAAGCGAGAGAGGAGAGAGGGCAAGGAGATAGTTATAGAGATGAGATGAAGTGGCAATCAGATGCGGGAGTTCTGCCCCGTAACAATAGCAATTAGTGTGAAGCCTCCGTCTCTTGGAATGAATGCGGTGGTCGTTCGTCCTTAGACGGCTTTTGATGGATCTTTCCGGTCCCCCTTGCGCGTTCGCGTGTGGGAGCGGAATCCACGGATGTTGTTGGCTAGCGTTCATGCGAACCCATCTAGAATCCGAATCCGTTTACTTCCGTTAATCTGAATCTCTATCAAATCAAGATACTTGACATCAAACACTATTATCCAATATTGAATCAAGATTCATAGACAAACTCAATAAGCTCATCGGGCCTGAAAACGTGGATCCAGAAAAGAATTTGACCACCACATCAGCACCATATGATCTGTTGTAGCTCAATCCACTCATTTACCACGTCATACTAGTAAATCAAAATAAAATGATTTCTATAAATATTTTGACGCTACTATTTCTCCACTTCTTCCTATTATCCTGTTGTTCACATTGTTGATGTCCTCTTCTATCATTTAGATTAATTGGTCTTGTATGCTCATCTCAGTACCCATCTCAAACTTATCCAACTCAGTTTTATTTATTTTGAAAAGACCTACCTCGATCTTTTTGAAAATTAATGATGAATTGTACAAAAGAAATAGATCAAACCGGCTCTAACTCATCTACTTCGATGATGGATCTAAATCTACCCTAGTCAATGCCCCATCCTCGATCGGATCTCAAAATATCAAGCGGATGGCCGGACTGGGCAATGGATGCGGAGGATAAATCCGAATCCGTATATTATCTCAAAATATCAGTCAACATCAGATTACCTCAAACACTGCGAGCGAAGAGGAGAGAGGAACAAAAGATTCAAACTCCAGTTGATGGAGTGTGAACGGGGCCGAGAACCGGTCCCGGATCGGCAGCTCTTTACATTATTTTTCTCTGGTGTTGACTGCTAGATCATTACCCATCACAAGGTTCGGTCCACTCGAAAGAGACCCCCACGGGTTCACTTCTCTTTCACCACTTGACTCACAGTGAGACCTAATCATACATAACTACATAAATGTCTATAATATAAATACATATATACATAACGATCAGATGAAATCATAGTGATGTAAGAAAAATCAATACAACAGATAACGGAGAAGCGACGAAATCGGAGAGGCAAGCGAAAAGTAAGATAGTGGACGAGGTTTTCCTGGCCTGCGAAGAAGAGTCATAGGCCTGTCCGTTTCGATCTCCAGGGGCGTCAGCCAGTACATTTAGATGGAGTTAAGTTCGCCAGATCGACGACGGTAAAGAGAAGGGAAGAGTTGAAAGCGAAAGACGAAAAAGATGAGGGGAAGAACATTGAGACGATAAATTACTCCGTACCTCGACCAGATTCAGGCAATAGGTTGTCGATCCCCGACCGAGCGCATCCGGAAAGAGAGAGACGTAGAAAGAGACAACTCCTGCCTTGGAATTGCTACTGAATCCACTTCACAGCGACGCCCGATCGGGATGAGAGAAGCGGATTCTCGCACCCTTATGTGATTCTTCGACGGCGTCTAACAGAAACGGGAGGTGGGCAATTCACTAGTAGAAGCAAAACTGACTTCAAGTGCAAACAAACAGCAATAATGACATTAGTAGGGCAAGATTCCCGACGAAAGTTGCGAAAGAAGAACGCCATCGCTGTAAAACTAAGACGAGAAATTACTCCGCACCTCGACCGAGAAGAGGGAGAGAACTTCTGCCTTCGAATTTCTACTGAATCCACTTCATAGCGACGCCGGATGGGGATGAGAGAAGGGGAATCTTGCACGCTTCTGTGAATCCTCAACGGCGCCAACGTACAAGGGAGGTGGGCGGTTCGCATTCGCAGAAGCACGCAAATCTGACTTCCAAGGGACCGAACAAACACTAATAGGAGAAGGCGATGTCGTTGTCGACGATTGCAGTCGATTGATGACGCGTGGCGTAAATCGCACGCAGATGTTGATTCGATCGGTTAGCTCATCGGTTTGGACAACTCGTTCCCATGTGTGGTGTGTGAAACGATTTAGAGACCATCATGAAGAATACAGCCGGCAGTGGCTTCGAGTGTTTGACTATTATAAGTCGACAGATACCACAAGTGAAGTGACTGTGACGCTGACAACAAACCCCAGTAATCATCGTTTATTTTTATAGCGTTTATTATTATTTTATTTTGCCTGATGTTTACAGTGATGAAATGGCGATGGTAATTAATTTGCTCGTATTTTAGTTCGTTAGCAGTCTATTTTTACTCGTTGTTTATTATTATGTTTCTTGTGCGATCTCGACACTTGGGCAAAATCACGATGATAATTTGCTCGAACACATTTCTTCATCAATCCGTTCTTTCTTGTGTGAATTTTACGAGAGTAGAATTTAGTGTTTAGGTGAGACTAACAACTAACCTTTAATTTCGTGACGTTTATTTTTATGAGATTATAATTATTTTTGAATATTTTATTGATTATTTAAAAAATTAAAAAAGATATAGATTTTATTATCCTAATTATAGTACGAGGATAGTAGAATAAGATTCTTAGAAAATGACGAAATTAGTGGGAGTGAAAAATCTCAAAAAATTAATTTTGATATTGAGGAGATTTATATTAATTCTTCTATATCATCTCATATTCAAGAAATTATTATTCCTCAAATCAATGATAAAATTGACGAGACTAAAAAGTAAAATAACATCAATAACAATAAACTCATATATGATGTTGATGTTTGATCTTGTAGAACAATTACAATTGACAGTTTTGAGAATATCTCAAAGGAAAAGAAAATATGTCATTTCTGATGATTATGTGATATATCTACGAGAATCATATTATGATATAGGAATAAAAACAAACCCCCTATCATTTTCACAAGCCATAGAAACTAATGGTTTTAAAAAATTATATAATAAAATAAAAAAAATTTAAAATTAATGGACCATAATAGTATTTGAGAACTTGTTGAATTACTTAATAATTATAAAAGAGTCAGCTTATAAATGAGTTTTTAAGATAAAACATAACTTAGTGGGTAATATCGAATAATATAAAGCTAGACTTATGACTAAAGATTTTTCTCAAAAAGATGGCATCGATTACAACGAGACATTTTCTTCGGTTTCTAAAAAGGATTCGTTGAGAATCGTCATAATATTAGTAGCTCATTATGATCTTGAGTTAGTAGGAACAAGTTTATTCTATTGATCTTATATGTAGATGATATTTTGCTTGTCAATAGTGATATTGGTTTATTATATAAAACTAAGATATTTCTCAAAAAGAACTTTAAGATGATTGATATGAATAAGGTAATCTATATTAATGACATTGAGATATTCATGGATAAATCTCAAAGATTGTTAAGACTATCTCAGAAAAGATATATTACTTATATATTGGTGAGATTTAATATACATTTTTGCTTAGCTAATAATACACATTATTATAGGTGAAAATTTCAGTCAAAACCAGTGCTCGAAAAATGACTTAGAAAGTCTATTATAGGTGTGTAGTTGGAAGTCTATTATATGCTTAAACATGTACAAGACCATATATCTATTTTGTAGTTGTAATACTAGGTAGATACTAGAGCAACCCAGAAATAGAACATTAGAAAGTTGTAAAGAAAATAATGAAATATCTGTAGGGGACGAAAGATTATATGCTCACATATAAGAGATCAGATCAGCTTGAAGTGACGGAATATTCATATGCTGATTTTATAAATTGTCTCAATAGTAGAAAGTCCACTTTAGGATTTGTATTCATATTAGTTGGGGGGAAAATTTCTTAAAAAATATAAAATAATCACTTATTGCATCATCAACAATGGAAGCCGAATTTGTGACGTGCTTTGATACCACAAATCAAGCTTTATGGACTTGGTGTGGTCGACTCAATTGCTAAGCCGCTAAAGATATTTTGTGATAATACCACAGAAGTTTTCTTCTCTAAGAATGATAAGTACTCTAGTAGTCTCAAGCATATCGAGATAAAGTACTTGGTGATTAAAGAAATAGTTCAAAAATAAGTGTCAATTAAGAGCTTGAGCACTACTATAATAATTGCTAATCCATTTACCAAAGCTCTATAGTTTAAAATATTTAAAGAATATATTTTTAGAATAGGGTTTATGAGTAAGCCAAAAAATATATGGTGATACATGTTTAGGTGGATGCTATTATTGATATTTTTCTTACTTAATTAAAGTTATTTATTTTTACTATCATGTTCATATTTATGTTTATGTATTATATAAGAACAGGATTGTCTTAACAAGACAAATTATAGAGGTCATAGAATGAAGTATATCATTGATGATATACAACCGCTATGACTCGCATTGATAGCTAGAATTAATATAGTATTATTATGTTTATTGGACTTATTGGCATGTTTTAAAAATTCATGGCCATGTATAAATGCTTTTCAAAATTTTTAAAATCCAATTAGGTAAAAAAAATTTTAAATAAATTTTATTTTGTTTATTTTGATTTTGAATATCTTTTATATCTTATCAATTAATTGACAAAGTGAATAAATATTAGATTATATGACCCTTTCTAATTGGATAAGATATATAATATAATTAATTAGATTCTGATAAATATATTAGCCAATAGAAAAGAAGTCAACATTATAGCAGGATTCCTTAGGAGATGCCCTTGATGGGAAGAACTCTCCTAATAACTTATTCTATACCCTTTACTCTCACAGGATGCAATTGAAATATTACGATTTCTCTCAAAACCTCCCTAAACCTAGTGGTCCCATGAAAAGATAGGAAGAGAGGAGAAGAAATGTCTAGTTCTCCTTGCAGATCGACATCACTATGATATTCGTCACTATGATATTCGGATCCGGAGGACAATGCCTTTACATATCAGATATATATCCCTTTCAGATGATATCGAAAGGTACATATCGTAAATCCAATCTATTGTTATTTGATTTCAATCCTAACATTTTTTTTTTCCATATTACGTATAGCATATTATAGATTTTATGCTAAGATAAGCAAAGTCACTATATAGAAATAATTTTATGGTAGCATTTTATATTTGTGATAGATCTGTTAAATTTATATAAGATTAACTTATATATTAGTTTTATTTTCTTAGGTGATCACATAGAAAATTATCTTTTAAAAAATATTTTGATATAATTATTATCTTCGATCAATTAAGACTCAATATATAAAATATAATCAACCTAACACATCACGTCCACTATCAAGATCATAAGAGTCCAAGCATGCCACATTGATATATCATAAAAAAATATTTTTTTCTAATTAAATTAATTATTACATCAAAAACAATATATAGTATGATTTTATATATGTTTATATTCGAAACTAACTAAATGAATTCTTACCAGCATTAAACACTTGCAGACATGCACCAACTTGACAATCATTGTGATTTTATCAAATATTCCACACGATAAAATACAAGATACAAAGCATATTCCACCCTTTGCCCTTTAACTAAAATGAGATTAAAAAATTTAAAATGAGATAAGAGACATAAAATATAAACATTCTTCTACCTTAAAAAAAATTATCCCTTATCTAAATTCTAAATATTTAATGACTCATCTAAATATAAATGATCAACAAATGATAAAAAAAATCTAAGGTTCTTAGTCTCTTTCAACTAAATTAACTAATTATATATATATATATATATATATATATATATATATATATATATATAAACTACCTAAAAATATCATTCATATAAAAATAATGATATAATCGATATCTTAATATCATATGGTTGATACCTCAAAATCAAGTGATTGATACCTTGATATCATAAGATTAGTAACACATGATTGAGGGGTCGAATGTTACCACGTCCTAAGTTTGATGCACCATGACCACAATAAGCTTAAGAGAAGCACACTACCTCCTTTATAATCGACGTATGCTATAGTGGTAACGATACCCAAGCCCACTATAAAAGATTCCTTAGGTACATTCCCAATATAGACTCTTTTCTACTGTTAATCATAGTTGAATCATTTAAATATAGACATATTAGAATGTCCCCAAAACAATCTTACAAGTTTCATAACCACTTGGGAGCATGTGGGGATAAATAAACTATAACTCTTTAGGACAAAAGCGAAAAAAAGGTTTTGGTTGGCTCCGAATTAATATTTGATTTAACAGGTTGACACTAGAAGAACAATATTCCCAACGTGTCCCAAGAAAATTATGATGGCCCATCTTGGGTGAATCAGGAATATCCGAACCAATTGGGGTTGAATCCCTCTCAAACTTTACTGCTTAAACCCTCCCAAGTTTCAGTATTCTTGGCCTAGCTACCGAGCCCATGGCAAACTATAATTTCCAAATGCTTAAACTGTTGATCTTCCATCAACTATTTCTGGATTTGACAACTAGTATACCTCTATTCGCTCAGCAACAAGCTCCACCAATTTCACCAACCCTTAGAATTTATCACTAACTTAGAGCTTCAAAATGATTTTGCTAGGGATGCCTTTAATGTAATCTTTCGAGATCGCATGGAAGAATATGGTGTTAGATTATGTGGTCCTATATAAATGAGAAAAATACATTATAGATATGATTTGATTTTCATTATAGTTATCAATTAATAGAAAGAAATTTTAATTATAATATATTTTTTTAGGAGATGACCTTGATGGGAGAGGCTCTCCTAATTATTTATTATCTTTTGCTCTCGCTTATAAATAGATAGGACCTCGTAAGGACAAAAAAATAAATGTAGATTATAGATCTAATATTATCTTCTCTTAGTCCTTATTTCATCGCTTATAGTAATTATACGAAGGATAAGAAGATAGGAGAATACGTGTCTAATTTTTCTTGC